TCCCACATACCTTACATTTTGTTTTATGCCATAAATCATTATTTACAAGCCACAATAGCTGGTCAGACATAGTGCCAGGTATAAATGAAATAAGCTCATCACTAAGGCTTAGTATGATGTGCAAACTCAATAAATGACCCCTTACTTAATTTAAGGGATTACGTGTCCTACTTAACAAAAGATTAATTATAATTATGAATCATACTGACAAGAAGCTAATTGCAATAAATCGTACCTAGCTTAGTCATGATAAATTTATTAATTTCAATCAATTACTTGAATGAATAAATACGGATTATGTTTTGTATGGATATAATCTAATTTGATTTTTAAAATGCGGAATAGAATAAAATAGAATACAATAATGGAAAATTAAGATTTAAAACTCTTATAACATTTTTTTTGTTTTGTTATGTTCTTGCAAACTTTTAATACAATTAAGCACTAAATTAATATTTTAGTTTTGCAAAGTTTGCAAAACTATGGGCTCAGTTTCAGACACTGAAGGAATTCAGCACATATATGCACAGGAAGAAAATACACACAGGGGCAAAACTGCTCCTTTGCTTGATTTTCCATTCAGCAACTAATGCAATAAAAAAATGAACCATACATTTTCAGCAGAGTATCATTTTATATAGTTTGGGCTCATTAATTACACATTATTTCTTTTTTCTTTCCCCACTGTACACAGTTCCTTGTAGATCATTATTGGAAACAGAAGCTTAATGAGAAATGCTAGCTCTAAGAAATTCACACATGGTGCTAGAGAAGTGGTAATTTATTTTCACATCAAACCCCATGGAATCTATTTTGATTATTCAACTTGAATATGTTGCGGAGTTCCTATTATTTTGTTTATAATCTGTCAAACCCACAAAATAATGTAAAGGTTAGAGGAGAACAGGAAAACGCAGCCTATCTTACACAGGTGAGAAAATGTTATTGTATTTATATGTCTAGCCCAATTAGTTACTTAATTGGATGCTTTCAAATAGGCTCATTTCCTGGTCATCTGCATTGACAAATGCTTGCCATCTCAATCTGTCTATTATAATTATTATCTCTTCCAACTGAATTCCTGTAATCATGAAACTGGTCGTTCATTTTATTGTTTTCTCCTTTCCCAGCTTGCCAAGTGTTAGATAGGTGGATTGAAGAGACTGGAGACAGGCTTCAGACAACAGCTCTTTGTTCAGCAACTATTAAGAATCCAGCAGCTAGCCTCTCAGACAGCCGGCCCTTTTATAGGGGGCTGTCAGGGAACCCAGCCAATCACATTTAAGCATTCTTCCCGCTCAAACAGCAGACCAGAGGGAAAACTATCCTATCAATATCTAACACCAAGAATACTGCTTTTCCCTCCCTAGTTCATTGCCCACTAGCACCAGCTGCCTAAAGCATGTGGGTTCATCCTTGCAAATCATTTCCTTTTTTCCAATATCAACTGATTGGGGGTTTTTTCCTCCCCTGTCCATGGTGTTTGTAGTAACCATCTCTGGATCGATAATTCAAAGGTATTTAGCTTCCATATTTTCTGTGTCTACCTTTCACAACTATACATAATTACTGGAAATTCCATTCTTTTATCATTTTGATCTTTGTTATCAGAGAATGTCCTATTCTTATTGAACTTGCCTGAGTTTGTTACTGCCTTCTTTCTCTAATGCATATCTTCTTTTTTAAATCCAGCATACTCGCCATTTTTGAAGTCAAGAAATAAAATCAATTGTTGCTTCCATTTTTTTCACTGTGAATTGTAAATTTCCTAAGCATGATGGTTAAGATTGGTCTAAGAAGAGAGCCCTCTCTGCTGTTGGCTTCTGCAGCAGAGGTGAGGCAGATCCAGGGATGAAATCCAACAGGTTCTGACAGGTTCTGGAGAACCAGTAGTGGAAATTTTGAGTAGTTCGGAAAACCAGTAGCAGAAATTTTGAGTAGTTTGGAGAATTGGTAAATACCACCTCTGGCTGGCCCAGAGTGGGGTGGGAATGGGGATTTTGCAGTATCCTTTCCCTGGAGTGGGGTGGGAATGGAGCTTTTGCAGTATCCTTCCCCTGTCATGCCCACCAAGCCATGTCCACCAAGCCACACCACGCCCACCAACCACGCCCACATAACCGGTAGTAAAAAAATTGAATTTCAGCACTAGGCAGACCCCAACTCTTCTAGCCTTCCGACAAGAGCACAAAACATGGCCCTGCAACTTTGTGTGGAGGCACAAAGGATCATGCAATCATGGGGCTGTTTGGCACCATGAAAAGCCTCCTGCCACCCTCTATTAATTCAATGTTAACAGGATTAAATTGTCTTTTTGGAATTTTTTTTTTGTCTGTGATGTATTTTAATTTTATAACTTTAAATTTTTAACCCCAGATTAATTTTAATATTGACTTTATACACCGTTTTATATGCTGATAGTATGCTGTACTGTACATCTCTCAGAGCCCTTTCTTCAGGAAATGGGTGGTTTCAACATCACACTTATCTTTTTAATATTTAACATTAAGCCCCAAATTTCCACTTTCCACTTTAACTTTTAGAATGTATCTTCCAGCTCTTCTTTACTTTCCAGTAACAAAATGATGTATTTTATTTTATTTTATTTTATTTTATTTTATTTTATTTTATTTTATTCAAATATGATATATTGGTAAAGTTGGAGCGCATAGAACAGCTGTAATCAAACTAGGAGACCCCCAAAATCACCATGAACTATCCACAGGAGTTACCTGTGTGTGAGTTGTATATATATATGGCGTCCCAACCAGGGGTGAAATCTAAATTTTTTTGCTACCGGTTCTGTGGGCGTGGCTTAATTAGTGGGCGGGGCTTGGTGGTAAGGTGACTGGATGGGCGTGGCCAAGTCAATGTCACTTCTTTGTCCTTTTTTAACCTACAAAACACAACACAATACAACTGGCTCACCCACAATGTAAAAGCAGCTGTGCTAAATTCAAAATGGCCCCGCAACAAGCAGGAACCTCACACAGCCACAAAAAGCCCCCAAAAAACAACTTTCACACTTTACACACACACAACACAACACAAAACAACTGGCTCACCCACAATGTAAAAGCAGCTGTGCTAGACCCAAAATGGGCCCTGCAACAAGCAAGAACCTCACACAGCCACAAAAAGCCCAAAAAACCAACTTTCACACTTTACACACACAAAATTCCACATACAGCTTTGTGAGATTTTGTGTGTTTGTGTAGTTAGAGTGAAACACTACAGAAACACACTAAATCTCAGAAAGCTGCACAAATATTATTTTATTTTATTTTATTTTTATTTTTATATAAAAGCAGCTAAATTTAAAACTTCCTAAACTTTAAATGGCTAGGTCTAAAAAAAGAACAACTAAAAAAAAACCCAATTAACTATTTTTTTTAAAGCTCCCAAAGGGGAAATAGAACAGGGGTCTCCAATAGAACAGGGGTCTCCAACCTTGGCAACTTTAAGACTTGTGGACTTCAACTCCCAGAATTCCTCACCAGCTTTGCTGGGAGTTGAAGTCCACAAGTCTAGACAGGAAGGCAGGCAGGCAGAAAGAGCTGCTCACCGATGAGCTTGATTGCAGGCAGGGAGATTCAGTTGCTTGCTGATGCATGGATTGCGATTGTCATGCGATCAGCAGCTAAGGTAAGCAAGCTGGAGCTGTGGGGGGGAGAGAAAAAAAGAAACTTTTTTTCTTTTACATGGCTTTGGCGATCCAAGCTGAGTTGCCTGATTAGCAGGCAACTCAGCTGGGATGTCAGAGCTTGGCTGGTCAGAGCCATTTAAAAGAAAAAAAAGGCTCTGATGATCGCTCAGCTGGGCATGGGGGGCGGAGGCAGGGATTTTTGCTACAGGTTCTCTGAACTGCCCGCCGCCATCACTACCTACTCGCCTGAGCCGATCCGAACCAGGAGCATTTCACCCCTGGTCCCAACTCACACACAGGTAACTCCTGTGGATAGTTCATGGTGATTTTGGGTCTCCTAGTTTGATTACAGCTGTTCTATGCGCCCTAACTTTACCAATATATCATATTTGATATATCAGTAAATAGATATGGCGACAATACAGTCTTATCTCACTTCCTTTCTTATTCTGAATTATTTGATTTCTCCAGACTCTATTCATGGAATAGTTTCTTGATCATTACAGAAGTTCCCCAGAAAAATAACCAAGAGTTCGACCATTCCCATTAACCTTAATATATTCCATTTTCTGCCAGGATCTGAAGACTCAAAAGTCTGCTCACAGTTAACAGAGCAAAGGTCAATCTCCTTATATTCTTTTGCTGTCTCTGCTATCCGTATTACATTAGTTATCTGACAACGTGTCTTTTTGCCTTTTCTGAAACCTGTCTTGTTATTAGTCATTTTGTTCTCCATGTATAACTCATTTTTTTTCTTTATAAGACCTTATTTTTTTCTTGCAAGATAAATTATTGCAATAGTTTAGTAATTTACACTTTCTCTCGCCTCTCTTCAGTTTTTCTGCATTTTAAAAACTAGAAATTTCTTGCTTTCACACAGACAAATTGCGTACGCCAACATTTCTGCAAATGATACAGTATAAAGTTCTGCTATATCTTGTTTTTTGCACCAGGCACTTTCTAACATTGAAGCACACATAAGCTCCAAGGTATGTTAAAAGTTAGTACACATGTTGAAAATAAACAGATCTGGTGTGGTGAATTCACATGTGAATTTTCCAAGTGGACTGTAGCTAACTTGTAGTTAGATCACATATTTTCTAGTTGCTTCATTCTCTTGAAAATCTTGATAATCCTATTAGTCAAGCACAGTCAAGGAGAAAAAAACACACCATTATATCAAAAAAATACCTCTTTTATACCACCTGAATATCAAACATCTGTATTCACCTAATATAACACTGTATGTCATATTCCCACGATTACAATTAAATAGATATGGACCCATATATTTCATGGTTCACATATACTACAGGTTAGATCTTGACTTCCAATCTAAATGGATTGTACTTACATCTTTTGAGTTGCATTCTGATGTGCTTTTATCAGTATCCACCCTTTTTGAAGAAACTTGAGGAATCTCTTTGCCTGTAGGAATTCTTTGCTGGAAGATAAAAAAAACAGATATGTCAACACCTTTCTTGATTACAGTTGAAAACAATTACTTCCTAGAAATTGGAATTCTGGTATAGAGCTTTGCATTAAAACATTCAGTAGTACATTTTTTAATGTCTATGGATTGCTCCTGAGATATAGAAGTGGAATGAAGCTTTCTTCATTGAGATCTTCCTATCCCATTTTTGTATAGACTAGTATGAATTACAGGAATTGCATTAGGAAGGAGAAACACTATATATATTGAATGAAAGTTGTTTTCTATGATCTGAATAATTTCTGTTAGGTGACAGCAATGTTTAAGTCAGTTTCTTTCTACCATCCATACTTTTTTTGACTTATCATGAACCCAGAAGAGCAGAAGGTCATAGAATTCAAGTCAGGTTGTACAATGTGAAACTTACCTACAAAATTTGGATGTCTACAGTAGTAAGAAAATACCTTCCTCTTCCATCTATAGATGCTTTTTTTTTTTTTTTTTTTTTTGGAAATTCCTTCACCTCCTCTATTTCTATGTCATTGCTGCCAGTAATTTTGCCTATTATACTACATTATTTGTCTTCTAAATAGAAGTCCATAGAATGCTCAAGATAGGCACTAATAATAATAGAATCATTTGTTCAGATGGGTGGCTATAAGAATCAAATTAATTAAAATAAGAAAACAGTGTTACATCATCATAACACAATCTCTGTGCATTTTATGAATGCCCTATGGTATTAAATAGATTTGTGAAAGGGCTGTAGCTTGCACTGCAATCATGCAATGTTACTTTTGTCATTTTGACAAAAATATCAGATCCCCAAGGATAGCTTTGCTTCTAGACTCAGCTAGTACAAAAAAGTTGATACCTTTAGACTAAATGGTAAAATCATATTTCTCAGAAGAATCTAAAATGGGGGATCTCATAAGGAGACGAAATTTTATTAATTCAGAATATAATTGGAAAGGACTTTGGAGCAGGGATGAAATGTAAAATTTGTTACTACCAGTTCTGTGAGCGTGGCTTGGTGATGGTAGTAATGTGACTGGGTGAGCGTGGCCAACTTTTTTTTTTATTTTAACTTTTCAAAGCATTTTTTCTGCAAATGCAAAAAAATGCTTTGAAAAGCCTCTGCCGATCAGGAACACAGCTGGGATCGTCAGAGCCTTTTCAAAGCATTTTTTTAACCACCTCTTCCCCGGAAGAGGTTGCAGAAAAAAATGCTTTGAAAAGCCTCTGAGATCCCAGCTGAGCCACGCGATCATCAGAGGCTTTTTTTTTTAACTTTTAAAAGCATTTTTTCGGCGGAAGAAGTTGTAGAAAAAATGCTTTTAAAAGTTAAAAAAATGCCTCTGATGATTGTGCAGCTCAGCTGGGCATGGTGGGTGGGTGGGAGGCACAGGGATTTTTGCTACCGGTTCTCCGAACCACCCGCCACCATCGCTACCGGATTGGGAGATCCGGTCCAAACCAGGAGCATTTCACCCCTGCTTTGGAGGTCTTCTAGTCCAATCCCCTGCTCAAGCAGGAGACCCTATACCATTTCAGACCAGTGGCTGCCCAGTCTCTCCTTAAAAACCTCCAGTGGTGAAGCACCCACAACTTCTGATGGCAAGCTGTTCCACTGGTTAATTGTTCTCACCGTTAGGAAGTTTCTCTTTAATTCTTTAATTATTGGCCTGTTCTTAAAGATGTCAGAAAATCAGAACTCCTTTGTACAACACCAGAAACATTTAAGCCTAGAGCATAGTGGTTCTCTCCATGCTGGAAAAAGCTGTGGAGACTGAATTTTGCCATTGTAGATAGACAATGCTTCTGATTTTGATTTACTGATGGAAAAGTGACAATATTGTTTTCCAAAGAGTCAAATAACAGAATATTTAATATCTACAATTGGTTTCGTGTTACGTGTATCATTCTAATTTTCATCATCAATGCATTTAGAAAAATGAAGCTTATGATCTGTAGCATTTTAGGAGAAGGTTTTCTTCATAACATTGTGATTCAAAAATTAACTGTTTAAAAAGTTAGATTCTTCCTCTCCCTACCTTTCTCAACTGTTACTTTTATTAGCTTCTGCTTCCCTGTTTCAAAGGCTTAGAGAAAGAAAGAAAGATAGTCCAGAGGTAAAAGTCCTCTCTACATCTGTATTCTAGAAGTCATAAACTATAATATTGTATACATTAATGTGTTTCTACCTTCCAGGCTAAGTGCTTTTTTCCCACTGGAGTCTTCAACTGCTTGGGTCTTATGTGTAAATTGGCAGTAAATGACTAAGTTTCTAGATTTCAACATTTTCTTCTGCTTTGGCCATACTGAGACCCAGTTTTTTTGTTGGAATCCCCGTTATCACGGGGATCTCCTCTTGCCAGGAAATCAAGCATCAATTGTTTTTCTTTCTGTGGAGAATATTTTTCTGAAAACAAAGCAGTTTTCAAGTTCTATCCATTACTTGGGAAGAAAGGCAGAATTCTTCTCAATTTCATCTTATTGAAGCATGAACAAAGAAACAGCTATTGTAATTCCTCTCCTGAATCTGAAGGGGGGAAAAAACAAACTCACAAAGGCCCAGTCTTTCATGGCTGACAGTCATGAAATGGTGGACTATGGCAGACATTATTATTATTATTATTAATCAAATTTCTATACCACCCTACTCCCTAAGGACTCAGGATGGTGAACAGCCAAGATAAAATACAGATAATACAAATATTAAAAATCCCTTAAAATTATTAAATATTTTGGCCGAAACACAGATTAAAACACCCAATTTATAAAATCACGAATTAAAAAATTTTAAAGAGGAGAGTTAGGCCAGGCCAGCTTGCTGAAATAGAAAAGTTTTGAGAGCACGGCGAAACGTGTGCAGGTCCGGGATCCTCCATATCTCTGGGGGGAGCCCGTTCCAGATGGTAGGTGCCCCCACAGAGAAGGCTTTCCCCCTGGGGGCCGCCAGTCAACACTGTTTGGCCGACGGCACCCTGAGGAGCCCCTCTCTATGGGAGCGTACTGGTCGGTGAGAGGCTATTGGTAGCTGAAGGCGGTCTCGTAAATACCCCTGTCCGATGCCATGGAGCACTCTAAAGGTGGTAACAAAAACCTTGAAGCGCACCCGGAAGACCACTGGCAGCTCGTGCAGGAGGGGGGTCACATGGGAGCACCACATTGCTCCCATAACCACCCGCGCAGCCGCATTCTGGACCAGCTGGAGCCTCCGAGTGCTCCTCAAGGGGAGCCCCATGTAGAGAGCATTGCAGTAGTCCAAGCGGGAAGTAACGAGAGCATGAGTGACCATATTTAATGAGTCCCGATCCAGAAAGGGACGCAACTGGTGAATCAGGCAGACCTGATAAAAAGTCCCCCTGGCCACGGCCGTCATGTGCTCTTCTAAAGACAGCCGTGAGTCCAGGAGGACACCCAAGTTGCGAACCCTCTCCGTGGGGGCCAATGACTCGCCCCCAATAGTCAGTGATGGCACCAACTGACTATATCGGGATGTTGGAAACCACAGCCACTCGGTCTTGGATGGGTTGAGCCTGAGTCTGTTTCTCCCCATCCAGATCCGCACGGCCTCCAGGCACCGGGACATCACTTCAAGGGCATCATTGGGGTGGTCCGGGGTGGAGATGTACAGCTGAGTATCATCAGCGTACTGATGGTACTTCACCCCGAAACCACGGATGATCTCACCCAGCGGCTTCACATAAATGTTGAACAGAAGGGGCGAGAGGACCGACCCTTGTGGCACCCCACATACAAGGGGCCTTGGGGTCGATCTCTGCCCCCTGTCAACACGGACTGCGACCGGTCAGAGAGAAAGGAGGAGAACCACCGTAGGACGGTGCCCCCACCCCTAACTCCTCTAGCCGGTGCAGCATGATACCATGGTCGATGATATCAAAAGCCGCTGAGAGGTCTAATAGGACCAGGACAGAGGAACAACCCCTGTCCCGAGCCCTCCAGAGATCATCAACCAACGCGACCAATGCCGTTTCCGTGCTGTACCCGGGCCTGAAGCCCGACTGGAACGGATCCATTAGGGACCAAATTGCCCTGGATGTGCCAGTAAAGGGAAGAAAACTTTCTTTATGTGGAGCAAGAAAACTTAGAGTTTATTTCTGCAGCAGGCTAGGGAAGAGAACTGTCATCCAATAGAGCAGAACCTCCTCCCCCATCTCTCATCCTTGATGCTCTCAGACCTTGGTTGTTTGCTTGTATATGAGGTTCATTACTTGTAAGTTCTCCTGGATAAACCAGATAGGCAACACAACTCAATAAGCTAATTTTACTTTATTGTTTATGGAATCTTGCAAGTCTGAAGGTACAAACTCTCCCACCCCCTGCACTTTTAACCACCTGATCAGTGGTGAAATCTTCTGAAGTCTGCTACCAGTTCTGTGAGTCCACACAGCACTAAAAAAAGGAATATTTTGAAGCCTTCCAAGTCTGCAAAGGTAAGTAGAACAGAGAGGGGGGGTGAATCCACTGTGCCACATGATTTAGATTAGCTAGAAAGCAAGAAATCCAATGATTCTAGCTAATATAAATCACACATCACAGCTGATCTTCGCTCAGCTGATCATTGGAAATACCGGTTCACCCAAACCGGTAGCATTTTTTACCACCGGTTCGTCCGAACCAGTCTGAACTGGTAGCATTTCACCTCTGCACCTGATTAATTAGAACAGGTCTTTCCTATTTTTTTTCCTCTGACCACTAATCCATTGGAGGGTCTTCCCTCTCTTATCTGATCATTTCCTAGGTAGCATCTCTTCCCCTTGTCTCCCAAGCTCACCCATACATTTGATACATCATTCAATTACATAGCATTATCATGTAACCTAGTTGGGTGGTGAGAATGGTGATGTTACTTAGTTGGATTAAACACCTGCAAGCAAACAACCAAGGACTCCAGAGAACTATTCTCTAAAAAAAAAACAAAAAAACTACTATGAAATGAAATGAAAATCCATTTTCATCCCAGGCAAGCAAGAAGTGTTGATCAG